TTATATAGTTCTATGGTTCAAAGACATCCTGGAGACACTGTGCTCAGGTGGTTTGGGGCAGGCAGGAACTATGGGAGTATCTTGGAGTGCTGTACCAATTTGCAATATGGTTACTAAACCATATCAGAAAGCTGCTTAAGTGGTCAGGACTCAAACAGGACTGTCAGCTTTCTAAGATGAGTCAAAGAATGTCACATCTAAGATGTAGAGCAGTGTCACAGAATAGTAGCTTTTCAGAAATAATTTGACTCATTAGAGGGAAAGCAACAGAGGTTTACTGGAAATAAGGAATTCACCTCTCATTTCTACGTGAGTTCTCATTTACTTTTTGCTTTATTTTTTATTATTTTATTATTCAATCGCATCAAGGCTTGGTTCATTTCTCCCCCTGCCCCACCCCTCCTTACACCCACTTCACCCCTCCTCTCCCCCCTCAAACCAGCAGAAACTATTTTTGCCCTTATTTCTAATTTTGTTGTAGAGAGAGTATAAGCAATAATAGGAAGGAAAAGGGTTTTTGGGCTGGTTGAATAGGATAGCTATACAGGGATTGACTCACATTGATTTCCTGTGCGTGGGTGTTACTTCTAGTTAATTCTTTTTGATCTAACCTTTTCTCTAGTTCCTGGTCCCTTTCCTATTGGCCTCAGTTGCTTTTAAGGTATCTGCTTTAGTTTCTCTCGTAAGGGCACAAACGCTAGCTAATTTTTAGGTGTCTTACCTATCTCACCCTCCTTGTGTGCTCTCGCTTTTATCATGTGCTCAAGTCCATCCATTGCTGTGTTTGCCCTTGATCTAATGTCCACATATGAGGGAGAAATACGGTTTTTGGTCTTTTGGGCCAGGCTAACCTCACTCAGAATGTTTCGCCAATTCCATCCATTTTACCAGCGAATGATAACATTCATTCTTCTTCTGGCTTGCATAAAATTCATTGTGCATAGATACCAATTTTCTTAATAATTCGTCGGTGGTGGGGCATCTTGGTTGTTTCCAATAACTTGGCTATTGTGAGTAGTGCCACAATAAACATGGGTATGCAGGTGCTCTGGAGTAACTGTGTCACAGTTTTTGGGTATTCCAAGAGTGGTATTGTGATCAAATGGTAGATCGATGTCAGCTTTTTTAAGTAGCCTCCAAATTTTTTTCCAGAGTGGTTGTCACTAGTCTACATTCCCACAACAAGTGTAAGAGGGTTCTTTTCCCCGCATCCTCGCAACATGTTGTTGGTGGTGTTTGCTAATGATGGCTATTCTAACGGGGTAGGTGGATCTTAGTGTGGTTTAATTTGCATTTCCTTTATTGCTAGAGATGGTGAGCATTTTTTCATGTGTTTTTGGCCATTTGAATTTCTTCTTTTGAGAAAGTTTGTTTAGTTCCATGCCATTTTTATTGTTCATTAGTTTTGGGAGAATTTAGTTTTTTAAGTTCCCTATATATTCTGGTTATCAGTCCTTTGTCTGATGTGTAGCTGGCAAATATTTTCTCCCACTCAGTGGGTTGTTCCTATCTTTAACACTACAACAATTTCCTAAGACTTCAGAGAAAAAGACATTGTTGTTTCCATTTTAAAATCATCCCAAACCACCTGAATCAATCGATTGCATTTAAATGAATACAAATAGGTGGTTCTGAGCATATTACATTGCAGGTGATAATAGTGCTTGCCTTGAGTAGCTGTTAAATTACCTTACAGAGAGCCGTATTATCCCCAATACAGTGATAGGGGAAAGCAGGGCTATAACTTTTATCACAGTTTTAAATTCACAGACTCTGAGTGAGTCAATCGCTCTAATATTCATTTTTACTGAGAATGAAATGATCTAGGGGCTTATCTTGTTAGCATGTGTGTTACTATCAAATTGTGTAGGGACTTAGAAACTATTTTTATAAAGTACACTGGGTTTATTTATTTTTAGATGAATTCTACCTATCTGGCAAAGGTGGAATTCAAGAATGCAACCACAAGTTGTTTAAAGATAAACTGACTGGAGAACTGTTTGGGGAAAAACCACAGGAAGGAAGGGGAGGTGGGGGGTCAGTATGACCAAAGTGTAATATATATATGTATATGTATGAAAATACTACAATGAAACCTGCTAAAAAGGCAGGGGGAAGTGGAGGATAAGAAAGAGTAACAGAGGGGGCGAATTTGATCAAAGTTGTTATATACATGCACAGAAATATCATAATGAAACCCCTCCATACAATTAATTTATGCTAATAAAAAATTTGAAGGCCAGGAAAAAAAAAGATAAAATTATTATGGGTGACATTTTGAAAGTGTTGAAAATAATGGATGACCATGGGTTATCCATTCATCAATTTATTTGTGTTTGGAGACACAGGTTTATTGTCTTTGGTTGCATTGCGGAATAAACTTTTCATGCGCTACACAATGTTCTGGAATTCTGAGCCTCTATTGCTGACAGATGGAATGGCGTGCTCCAGTCAAGGAGGGCTCATACAGAAGTAGCTGGGACAGTGGCAGTGGTGTGAGGGGGATCCTGGCATAGTCACAAGCAGCTGTGCTCTGGAAATCACCTGGCAATCTCTTCCAAAGTACAGAATGAGAAGTGGGGCTCAGAAATATCAACTGGTTTGCTCAACATCACGTCAGAGGTGCATCCAATCTAGAAGCTACTGCCCAGCTTCTCACCCAAGCCACTGCCCTGTCACCACCATTCAGCCATTCAGCCATTCACCCTGCCTGTCAGAAGACAAGGCTCTACCACATACAGTTACCAACTTAGGACAACACACTCTGGCTGTGTTCCAATGAGCAATTATCCCGTGATTCTGATTAATGGCTATAAAGTCATTTTGAACATTTCAGATCTCAAACTTAAATTTTTGTGAATTAGTGCCTTATTAGGCTTTTAAAAATGGAAAATGAAGAAAAGTTGTTCTATACCTTCCTTGTTTTTGTAAGCCTGCTCACATGGAGATTTTGTTGCTATGGATCAGAATCCTTACTCTTCAAAATTAAACATCTGGTGTTCTGTTTTCTAGTTCTATAGTATCAGCTGATCACTCATTCATGTTCATAGAAATTCAGAGCTGAAGGGAGCTGCTTTAGTATATTTTTAAAAACCAACTTTCTCTTTGTTACACATCCTTGTGAATACATTGTACTTGGTGGAGAGAGGAAATGCTATATTGTGGACAGTGTCAGCTTTGAAGTAGAGCAAGTTTGAGTTTAAATTCAGCCCCACCTTTGTTAAATTTATGACCTTGAGCCACTTAACCATATAGAGTTCCCAGTGTCCTGATGTATAAAAATACTAATCACCTCCTAACAGGATCACTTAAGGGAAGAAATTTAAACACGTGTCCAAATCACAAAGGCACAATCTGGGCCTTTGTAGGTATTTAACAACGCAAACCATGACTCTCAACTAAAGGAACAGAAAGACATGGAACCCAGATTGCAAAAAGAATACTACTTTAGACTTTTAAGCTATTCAGATGGATTATGAATAGCTCCTTGAGGATATTTATAGATTAATACTAAAAGTGCTAACCTCCTGAGATACCGTTCATCTAGATTACGGAATGGTGAAAGCAGCACTGAGACCCAGGACTGCATTCTAGTTCAGGCTGCATTCTAGTTCAGGTCTAGATCCCTAACAGCAGTGTGACCTTGGATAAAGAATTCAATCTCTTGAGTCTATTTCCTCACCAGAAAAACAAGGCAAGGCCCAAAACATTTTGCTTCCTACCATCAGAGCCACTCAAGGAAACCAGTCAAGGCCACTGCCACGGAGTTGGGGTTCATAGTTCTCTGCACCTGGATGGATCAACTGACTCCTTTCACCTCTACTGATTTTACTTCAGTGACACATGACTAGCTATTTATAAGACACTATTCACTTGTTTTTGCATTTAATGTTCAGTTGACTTTTTGTGACACTGACTGATTTAAAATGGCTTAAAAGTCGAACATTGACAGTGCTTTGACAATTGTGCTCTCTTAGCATGAAGATAGGACCACAATGCTGAAGAAACTGAAACTCTCAGAGATCCTATCCATGACTTCAGAACATGGATCCACCACTTCCAGAAGGGAGAAAAGAAGAGGAAAGGCAACAAAGGAAAACCATATGTTTATTAAGAGGCATGAAAATGCATAAACTCATTTATAAATAAATGTATAATTTACCCAGTGAAAAAATAGTTAAAATCCATGAGCCAACTGGATCTTACATGTGAAATGATTATGTGTTTGATCTCTCATCATTTTCCCCTTCATCATGATCTCTTGGTAGCAGTAATCTTGCAAAGACTATAGAAAAAGCTGCTACCAATTATCATTGCATGGGGAGAAATTTTTCAAGAATGTGCTTTAAAAATGAACCAGTGCAAACAAATTCAAATCACAAGGGAAACGGTCAAAACTGGGGATGATCTTCAGAAAAGTAGAAAAAAAAAAAATCCTAAACATTTATTCATTAAGAAATAAGAAAGCAAACTACATTTTGATCAGTGAAAAATAATACATGTGAATATTAAAAACATTCTTAACCAGTGATTGCAATTATTACATTTATAAATGTTCAAATACTAATGTTCAATAAACATTCAAATTCTTGTTAAAAGCAGTATTAGGTGTGGCACACCTGGACAAGGCTGCTTTTGATTTAACAACAATCATGTCAACAGGAGGCAAGTGGCCCTTCAAATACTGTTGTTGGTTTTGTTTTGTCTGCAAACGATTTTTCACAGTATGTATTTTTATCTGCAAGGACCTGAAGAACATTTCACAACAACTAACTAAAAAGTCATTTCTATAAAATGACTCAATATTACAGAAACATTCTAAAACACAAGTTTAGCTTAAAAAAAAAAAAAGACAAAACCAGTTTTCTTTGGCAAGAAATTGTTAATTCCTTACCAGATGTTGGTTGGCAGTTGTATAGAAACTATCAAAACACTTTGGTATTTACCAAAGAGCTATTGAATATTTCATAAGTCATGTTACCATAATAGCAACATAGAGCTTATGTCAAAGTTGCGTTGACATCAACATTATTTGTTTGATTACTGTTATTAATAAATTTTCCTTCAAAAAGCTCCCTCCTAATTTTGGCCTGAATTTCAGGCTTTAATAAAAGTTCCTTTATCTGTTTCACTTTGGACTTCAGATTCAGTCTTTCTTGGTGCAAAGCTTCATTAATTAAGTCTTGGATTCCAATAAGTTTCTTGCCTAAGGAAAAAAGTTATAATACAGTTAAGGTACAAGTATCAATGAAAAAACATTAAATATGGCACACTGACTTATCAAAATAAGGTTAAAAAAATCTTTAAAATGTTGCTCACATTTTATAGAAAAGATTGCATTTTGCAAAAATATATCATTTACATGAGACATAATTTACTGTAAATAAAGATCACTGCATAGCGACAGAACGCCAGCCAAGGACAAACATGACACATTGTGAACTAATTGCACAGATGATCGTTTCAACAGTAATGACTTTAAATTTAGCACTTGATAGCTGTGTGTGTTTGACCTCAGATAAAGTAGTCAAATGCCTTAAGCAATATAAATGGCGGTATTTCATTGGTGGCAAGGCCTCTCCCACGGCCTTTGAGTCCTGGAGGCATAACCCAAATTCCTCCTCTCCCTTGTGCGTGGCTGAGGCACGTGACACTTGGGCCATTCTTCTGTCGTAACTTAATTTCCTCTTCTGTTGTGTTCCAGCAATGCAAACACGGTGATCACGAACATGTTAGCAATCTCATGGACTGGGCAAGAGACAAACAGCACACCTTAGCTCAGTCCCCAGACTTAGCAGAGGAGGCAGGGATGCTTCCCAAGGAGCAGTGGGGACAGGGTCCCATCTCATTTCCTGTTGTTATCACTGTCATTGTCATTCCGATCAGCCTCTTCAGCTTTCACAGAGCTCCCCTCCCCTGGCTGCTTTTTGTTTTGGGTTTCTTCCAGATACTGCTGCACAGCCTTGAGCACTGCGTTCTCCACCAGCCTCTTGCTGAGCCTTACTAGTTCAGCATCATCGGGCTCCGCTCCGTTCTTTTCACCTACATTCCACAACAGAGAAGAGAAGTCACTGAGCTCATATTGCCATAGCAACCTGGCCATGCAGGGGCCGGCTAGTTCAGTTAGTTAAAAGAGCAAGTGTCCTTCAATCTGGTACATTAGATCTGTAAGTCCAAGAATAGTGGGTTGCCTTTTCAAATGGTATTTGCCTGTCTAGTCCTGAAGCCTTCGAGTTGAAAAGCAGTTCATTAGTCCCAATCTAGAAGTGCTCTAGCTATCCATGTGGAAGCTTCCCATTTCAGGATCTCTTACAGATGCTAATCACCACTGTTGAAGTACATCTGCCCCTCCCACCTGGAGCCTCAGAAGTGTGAATGCACCAAGTAGAGAAGGGTCCCCTTCTCCCTCTCTGATGACAACTATTAGGAAATCAAGACTTTCCATCATCTCATTACTGAGGAGCAGTAACTTTAAAATGCTTGGCCTATGGATTGGGCGCCAATAATTAGCTCTCAGGACTTTCAAGAAGATAAAAGTGGTTATTAATGCTAATAACTTGTTTAAAATAGCTTATAAGACCAATATTCTTCTTAGTGCTATCATTGCAATTTAAGAAACAGGAAATTCTTCCAAGAGGAGTTAAGATTATGATGGTGAATTCCTAGCTATTACTATTTTACAGTCACTTTGCTTCCCTGCTAGTGATGACCCAAGCGTGACTATTCCATCTTTCATTTTACTGTAAAAAAATCTACTTCTTAACCATCTCATGCTACATATTGCCCAGCTACTCTCCACCTTACCTCTTTCACTGGTAAAAGGCAAAAAGGGTCTCCTCCCTCAAGTCCACTCAGTACGCCATCTACCTCCATTGAGCTGTGGGCCCAGGAAGGAAGACAGCTGGAGGCAAAAAGGTCATCATAGGGCACACACATTAAGATCAGCTCTGTGTTGCAAGATCAGCAATGGGCCCTGGAAGGCAAAGCTGGTGTTGCCCTTGCATGTTCAGGTCTGGAACAGGTGGATAGCAAGGGTGTGAGGTGGATGATGGGTGTGATTTTCTAGCCTCACATCGAACACGGATTGAAAAGCAAAAGAAGATGTGTCAAAGGTGAGACCTGGCCGCAGCCCTCCTTTGGAGCTAAATGTATCTGTAACACACCTTTAGAACCAATCCTGCTTATAACCACCCCTATACTTCCTAGTAACATCCCAAGCAGAAAAGAGGATGGATTAAGGCTCATTTTAGAGAGGCTAACAGTGGGAAGCTTGAGCAACTGCTTTCCACTTGAATGTTGCAATACAGTACCCAAAACCTGCGATGGTAAGTCTAAGAACATTAGGTGCAAAATATGCTCAGAACTGAGTAAGCTTCAACTCTGTGAGAACTCTGCAGAACCTACCTAATATAAACAAACTACGCTATCATAAGAAGAAAAATCCCCTACTAATAGCATTTGCAGGTCAAGTATAGATTGTTTTTACTAGTAAGATGAATGAACACATTGCTTAATATTTAAAAGACTTTATCTCAGTCTTACAACATGATGCTTCTACTGTGGAGACGATATCTCCAAATGTATTAACCACAACTAATTATACTATATCTCTTTAAATTTAAAACAGAAAATCAAACTGCAAGTGAAGGAATACCAGTTAAGTGGCCTTTAAATTCTATAAAGGACTCTAAATCTGTTGCCCTACTCATGTTCTGTGCCCAGGTCAGAAATGGTGCTCTTGGGTCTGTTCTAGAACTGAGTCAGCTTTCTCACTGGTGAAATAACATGACTGTATTCAACTCTAATAATAACTCAATTTCGAAGAACCCTCTCAGGTCTAGTATGATCCACCTTGTTATGCCTATCAGCCCATAGGGAAGTATCCCTACTACTTTAAACAGTAAGAGATCTGAAATACAAAAATCTTCCCCTCAAAATGCTAATTTTTCCTTCTAATTGTCCTAATTTTGTTTACCTGTGTATATTATCCAAACAAGATTGTTAGTATCTTTCACTTCCTATCCTTCATCAACATACTTCATGCCTAACCCTTGTCAATATGTGTGTCACAATTTCTACCTTCTTCAATGCATCTGATAAAATACCTCTAGGGTCATCTTTTAGAAACGTCCTTTTCACTTTCCACTCAATAAAGAAACAAGTCTGCTTTCTAAGACTTTCCAAAATCTGCCTTGACAGCCCACTACTGCCTTATCTCTATAGTGAGCTTCTAACAGATTCTTAGGAGCTAGCGTACCACTCTCTATTTCTAGCTAGTCCTACCTTTTCTGTCAGGTAAAGTCCCTACTGCATGAAGCCTTCTCTGACTGGCCCAGCTGGAAGTGATGAGCCTCCACTGGATTCCAATTATCCTAAAACCATGTATAGTGCATGGCCACATTCAACAAGTATGTCTTGAGGGTCTACTGTATGCCTAGAATTCTAACAGTCTATAGAAATACAGGAGGGAACAATTTCTCAATGGCTTTCTTACTTAATTCCTTTTCAAATTATGGACATTATTTATTAACGCATTTATTCAACAAGTAATGATTCAGTATCTGCTCTGATAAAGACACAGTCTTGAGTATAGAAACCCGATCCTAGGCTTCTCAGATAGCGTCCCTTCTTATAACATATGACGTAGTTTATTCATCACAATAAAAGCTCAAAAAATACTTGTTAAAGTGAGCTGCTGATTAAAGTCCTTGAAAGCAGTAGTAACGTCTTTAATGTTACTATCTTCCTATAAAAATAGCATACCATGGCCAGAAATCTAAATTTAAACAAGAGCAGAGAGCTGGGTGTGGCAGCACACATCTGGAACCCCAGCACTCAGGAGGCTGAGGCAGGAGGATTGTGAGTTAAAGGCTAGGCTAGGCTAGCCTAGAATTCCAGAATAGTTCAAATATCCATGTGCAAAATCTAAATGCTTGATGAAACTGGTCCATATGACAATATGCCACCAAATGAGTACACTAAGTTTTTGACCAATGGGACAAATATTAACTACCTATAATAACTAAGTAATCATCTAAATAACCAATCAGAAATAAACAAATTTACAGATGTGGAGTCCAGCTGTAGCTCAGGGAAGAGCCTATGGGAAGGCTAATCACAGAACCCTGCAGGACCAGTGACCTAAGAAGCCTGCATCTTATTCTTCTTTGGGTTTTTTTTTTTTTTTTTTTTTTGTGGGGCTGGGGTTTGAACTCAGGGCTTTGCACTTGCAAAGCAGGTTCCCTACTGCTTGAGCCACACTTCCAGTCCTCTTTGCTTTGGTTATTTTGGAGATGGGATCTCATGAACTATGTGCCCGGGCTGGCCTTGAACTACAATCCCTCTAATCTCAGCCTCCCAAGTAGCTAGGATTGGAGGTGTGAACCACTGGTGCCCAGCCTATATCTTCTTCATTCCATTGAGAGCATACTTCTGCTCCCATTTCAAGCAGATTCAATTAAACTTGATTTAAAAAAAGGCATTTTAGGATTAAAGCAATGCTGTATTTTTCTCTGCTTACTACTTGAATGAGGGTATCTGTCTCTCACAGTGACCATGTGAATGCAGTCATTTAATGATGGCAGTCAACCTACTGCTGCAAAGCACACAACGATTTGATTCCAAGAAGAGTACGTAAAGAAATACTCCCCATGTAAGAATCAACTTTGTTCTTAGTCTACTTGGTTTAATTACTATCCTAGCTACTTAAAATAACAGACTAACATTTGTCTTCAACACTGTCATTTTAGGAATCTCTTTAACATAGCCTGATCCATTTCTTAAAAGAATAGTAAAAATAGGGCTGGAGGTGTGGCTGAAGCAGTAGAGTGCCTACCTAGCAAGTGAGAAGCCCTGAATTCAAACCCTACTACTGAGAGAGAGAGAATAGTAAAAACATAAAAGTAATGAAAAAATCTTTTAAGTGCACCAAACACAGTGATGTCCTGAAAAGAACAGACTTAAGATACTTTCCAACAAACTCCAAGTTAACGATTACAAGTAAGCAAGAGTGTGGTATCATTAAATCATGGCTTATTCTTGTGATTCTGTTTTTGTATATATTACCCGAGAGCTCTGATAATAACTCAGTGAAGGGACAAAATTATTTTTGTGGTCATAAAATAAAAATAGTGAACTCTGTGGTGGCAAGAATATGTTACAGCTAGTAGGATATTAAGGTCAACCTTAGGGTGCTTCAGCTGATCTTACACACTGAACCAACAATAGCTTGACTGATGTCACATGAAGGGCCCCCTCACCCACCTTCAACATCTAGGTGCCTATTTGTCCTGACAAGAATAAAACACACTAATTTTTTCTTTAAAAAGTAATGAAGAAAATCTTTACTACAATATAGAGTAGAGAGGAGAGGAGTGAGAGAGAGAGAACATTAAAATGAGAACATTCAAGTTGTCACTCGCACACATCCCAACTATCAAAAACCTCATTTGGGGAAGTTGAGAGCTTCTTCACATCCTGGAGGCTGCATACAACAGTTCTGCAGCTGTCACCATGCCACAAAATGAATACATTGAATTATACCATAAACCATATGGACAGCATTTGGATTACTATGAGAAAGAGGATTATCATAAGCAGAGGGGCTTACCAACCTTCAAAAATGAAAAAGGAAAAAGACAATTGATCAAGATGCATGAAAAGAGAAACAGCAAACAAAAGACAGATGAAAGTACTCCGCAGGGAACAGTTCCTTGTCTACCTGCTGGACAGGGAAGGACAGTCCTGATCTGAGGTAGGTACTTTCCAATCTGGTTAACCAAAACGAAAAGGGAAGGCTGGAAAATAGGAAGTCCTTCAACCCAAAGGTCATGCTCAGGGAGAAACAGAAGTATTAAAAGATATTCAGACAGGAAAGAAAAAAGGAAAGCATGAAAGAGGGCTGCTACAAAAGTCTGCTTTGTTGGAAATGGTTCTGGGAGAAAACCACCTAAATATGAAAGATTAATGAATGGAAGCCAACAGGTTTACATTTCAAGGAGCCCATGTGACACACCCTGAACCAAAAGCCACTGTTTGCCTCCCAATAAAAGAACCCCTCATCCCCACTATTATAAAACTGGGCAGTTTACCAAAGTTACAGTC